TGTTTTTTTTTTAATTAGATGAACTTCACACACTTATTTTACAGTTATTTAACTGCTACTGGTAATAAGAGGGAACAAAAGCTTGAAATTGAAATTTCTTCCCACATTTGAGGGCACCCATACCTAATTGTCGTGTTTAAATGAACGAATACTGCACTCCAGGAGGCTTAAATGTAATTTCCCTGTGCCGTTGTATCGGGTTCACAAAAGGCTGCTTTTTGCTGTATTTGAGAGCCATTCATTTGGATTTATCATTCTCCCTTGTTGCTAATGTATGCATGGTGCAGATACTTGTAGTTGGAGTCGGTAGGATTATGTGTTTTGTGTTGTTGGCTCAGACAGTATGTTACACATGAACTGTGCATGTGAATGTGGGCTTGACAGCAGCTTAAAAGGTATTCAAAGATGAGTGAGTGTTTGCATGTTATTATGTGTTTCAGGAAGCAGTGGGGTGAGTATAGAGACCATGAGTCCTAAAGCTGTAGATGTTCTGAAGGGCCTGAACAGCTGCAGCAGGAAGTAATGTGTGGCAACAGCTGACTGCCTGGCTTTAGTCATTTTCTCTGCCTTTCTCCATTTACCTGCTATCCTCTGCCTCAGATTTACTCTTAACATACTGTTGAATTACATTTCCATTTAGCAGTTCAGTGTGCAAGTGGCAAAATGCTAATTTTTTCCTATAATGGCTGCATCTTGCTGTGCTTTACTGGTTCACAGTTTTACCTTCAGCAACTCTAGGAAACAATGTTATTATGAGCAGGTCTGAGTGGAGCATGTGCATAACAACAGGCAATATGAGACAATATTAGCTTTTATGACTTTATAAGCTTAAACAAACTGCCTTTTTATGTTCAATATTTCTCACTAACTTCCTTTCTGACTATATTAAAAACTCCTCGGGGTAGCAATTTATAGTGGAAAATCTAGTCCCAAGATTGTTTTGAGTTTTGCATGTGCCTGTATGCAAGCAACCACTGCACCATGGAGATTTCTAATTAGCTAGACCCAGTCGTGTATGGAGAATGGGCGGTTGCTTTCAGGGTGCATACCATCTGTAGGAACAATCAGTGATGATGGAGACATCACACTATCGGCCGTAAGGAGGAACTGAAGAGAAGTTAAAACATTATGTATAAAAATATCTGTAGGCAGTGCAACATACTTCGTAAAAAGCTTTTTGTTTTTATTGAAGATGAGCTCTGTGTGCATGAAAATCACAAGTAAAACTGACTGATCTATCAAATAGTGAGGAGTGTGGGGAACATGAAGTTTTGGGATGGATAAAACAGAAAATATGGAAAACCGATCAAAACCAGAATATTTAACATGTTATAAGCCTTACCATGAATAAACTTTTATCAGGCATTTATTTGGAGCTGCCATTAACAATCAGGCAGCTGCTGGAACAGGTCAACCCCCCCCCCCCCCCCCCCCTCCTCCGTTTTGGTTTCATATAGATGCCTTTAAGAATGCCAGTACTTCTGTGATTCTGAGCCCATAATCTTTGTGAGACTCCTCCAGCTTTGCAAGTTAATTTAAAAAGCTCTGACATGTTTGATTCAATAGGTTTTTGCTATGTGATCATGTAAAATAATCTTGGACAATATCAGGAAAACTGCTGTCAGTGTATTGGAAAACTATTTTATGAATTTGTAATTATTTTTATTTTTCTGTCTGTTCCTATATTTTGATTTTTCTTTTCTACTGACAGTGTTGTGTTTTCTAAATTTCCACATGCACACAGCTTTTCACGTTTGGGTTTGTTTCTTCTCTGCCTCATATGAACCGTCTCGTTAGTAGTTTCTGACCTCTGTTTTCCCGGTCGTAACTCCAGGTATCGGTCCGGTTCTTGGCCTGCTTTTCATCCCTCTGATTGGCTCGGCCAGTGACCAGTGCAACAGCAGTTATGGTCGACGGCGGCCCTTCATCTGGCTGTTGTCTCTGGGAGTTCTTCTGGCGCTCTTCATCATTCCCCATGCTGATCTCTTGGCAGCACGTCTTGCTTGGGGAGGGCACACCCTCCAGGTAGGAGAGCACGTTTGTTACCTCACTACACTAAGAATGCTACAAATGTTTATAATAATGACTGGAAGTAACTTCTTATATACAGTTAGTGAACAATTAATTATTCAAGGCTCAGTTTAATTTCAGTTTTGTTGTGTTTTTATTGTTTTTATCCCTCAGGTGGGAGTTCTTATCTTTGGTGTAGGACTCCTGGACTTCTGTGGACAGGTTTGCTTCACGCCGCTGGAGGCTCTTCTGTCAGACTTGTACAGGGACGAGGAGGAGTGTGGCCAAGCCTTCGCCATGTTCTCTTTCATGGTCAGCCTGGGAGGCTGTGTGGGTTATTTGCTACCTGCACTGGACTGGAGTCGCAGTCTGCTTTCTATTTATCTAGGAGGACAGGCCGAGTGCCTTTTTTCCCTCCTCATCTTCATCTTCGTCGCCAGCGTGCTCATTACCATGAAGATGTCTGAGGAGCCCTCATGTGCCAGCAGCAGCTTGGCGGGATCAGGATCTTTACTGGAGTCTGGGCCTGGCGTGATGGAAGCTCGCCGCTGCGCTGTGCCCCGCTCGTGCTGCTACCTGCTGAAATGCAAACTGAGGCTGCTCAAGGCTGGACCTTTACTCTGCTTACTGAGGACATGCTGGTCCATGACCCCGGCCATCTTCAGGAGCTACTGCCACGTCCCGCGTGTGATGAGACAGCTGTGCATGGCCCAGCTCTGCAGCTGGATGGCTGTGATGTCGTTTATGCTTTTTTACACAGACTTTGTGGGGGAAGGCCTGTATGAAGGTGTGCCTAGTGCGTTACCAGGAAGCATGTCCAAGCAAAGATACGATGAAGGTCAGATTTCCTCCTTATCTACATTACTGAAGATTGTGTTGTATACACGTTTTGTGAGAAGCTGTCCTTTTTTTCTGGATTGATGGATTATTCTAAGTTTGCTGCAGCTTTGTTCAGGCTACAGTGCATTTTTGTTCTTCTCAATTGCATAATATCAAATGCACTTTGTGTTTTGTCACAGCAGAGCAGAATGCAGTCCTGTCCTTTTGACATAAGGGAGACAAAGTGTGTTCCTGAATGAGGAATTGTCTTGATGCTGCGCTCGTTTTATTTCAAAGTATAGTCCACATACTAGCGAGGGCGGCAGCAGCTTGAATTAAAGACACATCTGTTGAGTTTGAGAATATTCTATGTTTAAAAAAAAAAAAAAAAAAAAGAGTAACAATCTCATCTCAAAATACCAAGTATTACTTTTCGTTTGTGTGCTTTAAAAGCTGCTAACTTATGCACAATCTGTTTGTCCACCTCTGTCTGTGTTTCGTTGCTGGACCCTGAGGAATGTCCCACTCACAAAGAATCAATGTCAGTGAATCAGCACACAAACAACATGTTCATTCAAGTCAGGTAGTCGGCCCAAACGCACAGGTTTGAGGTCATTCAGAGTTTTGTTTGTTTAATTAAAAACACAGCGGATGTTGTTAAATCGCTGCATCCTATCTGCAGATGTTTCTCTCCATGACAATGATCTGTTTCTTTATGGTTTCATGGCTCTGTAGATTTTTTTTTTTTAAACACAATAACTTTTTTTAAAGTAATCTTTTCAGCTGCTCGTTCTGGCTCAGCCCTCAGGTTTTGGTTCTCATTAGTATCAGCAGTGTTTATAAAGCAGGACTCCACAGCTTTGCTTTTTGGGAGTAATGTGATCCACTTATTTTCTTCCAGATAGGTTAGTCTGCCCTGCTGTTGAACTTCTGACCCAAATGGTTCAGACCACAAACTCTGTTAGAATGACTAAATTAAACTCCCTGTCTGCATCCACAGAGGACAATTACAATGTAACATTTTTCTGAGGTAAAATTTATTTAGGAATAAACATGTTTTATGTTCTAACTGAAAATGTACGTTTTAAATGAACGATGATGCTGCGCAGAAGTTGAGCACTAACTTGTTACTTTTGATTATTCTTTTATTACTTTTGTAGCATTTATGAATGCAATGTTTTATGTTTTTTCCACATAAAGAGTTAGTGTTGTTGCTCCACAAGACTAAATCTTACTGGTTGTTAAATTGTATTTTGAAAGAAAGAAGAAGAAAAAAACTCTTGACAGGCTGCAGGAGACATGGAAGGAAGCAAATATATAATTAAATTTTGCAAAGGAATTCACAGCTCTCCCTCTGTTTGGACTTTACATTCCACTTTAAGTCAGTTGGTCCGAACTCTTCAGATGCTTGTTGTCCTGGTTGCTAACTGGGCCAGACTCTGGCCAGAAGGCAGATCTCATCAGTAAACAAGGACTGGTCTGAGTGCTTCACACCCTTCAGCTTGTCATGGTTTTATCTGGGGTTAATGGTGTGTGTTATTGTGCAGGTCGATCAACCCAAACTATATCAAAGCGTCAGACGTCTGTAAATGTTACCAGAACCACATATGTTTGTTCCTGTTAATGAACTTGACCATACACAAGGCTTTCTGGTTCATCTGTGTCCGTTTAGATATTTTTTGAGTAAAGGATGTGTGATATTTTGTAATAACAGTTGGTTCCTTTCTTCTCTCAGGTATCCGTATGGGCAGCCTGGGCCTGTTTCTCCAGTGTGCTACCTCAACTTTCTGCTCTCTGATAATGAGTCGCTTGGTTCACCGCTTCGGGTCACGATGGGTCTATCTGAGCAGTATGGTGAGCTTCACGGCCTCGGCGTTGGTCATTTGCTTATCTAAAAGTGTCGCCCTGGTCACAGCGATGGCAGCTCTCACTGGCTACGCCTATGCAACCCTGCAGACCCTGCCTTACACCCTCACATGCCATTACCACAAGGAAAAAGAGGTAAAAACACAAGTAATGGTTTCATATACATGAACGGTGCATTTTTGAAATATGCATACTTAATAAAGCTTGTTTTTATGTCTTATTTCAGGTCTACATGCCAAAAAGGATCACCAAAAGTCTACATCAAAATGGTATAACAGCCAAGCAGGATTCTGTTTATCTGAACCCTGTGCAGGAGGAAGAGGGTGTCTTAAACCACAAAACTACTCCTTACATACCGGTACATCCCTTCCTCAGCCAAGATGGTTATGAAAACTATCCCTCCCCACCAAGTCAGAACGGCTCATCCCCCTGCTCTGGTAGCACCGAGCAGGATGGAGCTGAGTTGGGATACGAGAGGCGTGGTGTGGGCTTGGACTTTGCGATCTTAGACAGCACGTTTCTCCTCTCTCAGGTTATCCCCACCCTCTTCATGGGTATGATTGTTCAGTTTGCACAGTCCGTAACCGCCTACATCGCCTGCTCTGCGATCTTTGGAGCTGTTGCCATCTACCTAGCTTGTCACATTGTCTTTGACCAAAAGGACCTCAGAAGCTAAATCTTTGTTTTAAAAGAAAAGGGAGTGATAGAATCACTAATGACTCATTCAGGTTACTCTGATAAAACTCAACAATGCACTAGTTTTCCCAGAATGCCTTGTGCTAATATCATCTGCAGGTTATGTAAGAAGTGGCTTAATCTTTTGGCTTTTCACTCTAGGGGTGTCGCTATAGTGAGTCATCCTCCTCCATCTCACTCTGTCCTCACTCCAACTACCTCCATGTCCTCTCTACCTGCATCCATATCTCCTCATTGTCTTTTTCCTGGCAGCTGCATTTCTAACATCCTTCTACGAATATACCCACTGTCCCTCCTGTGGACATGTCCAAACCATCTCAGTCTGGTCTCTTTAACTTTATCTCCCAGTTGTTCAACCTGTGCTGTACCTCTGATGATCTCATTCCTTCTTATCCATCCTTGTAACTCCTAAGGAGAACCTCAACATCTTCATTTCTGCCACTTCCAGTTCTTTCTCCTGTCTTTTTGTCAGTGTCTCTGTCTCCAGACCATACAACAGCTGGTCTCATCACTGTTTTGTCAACTTTTCCTTTGACCTTTGCTGACACCCTTTTTGTTGCAAATCACTCCTGAAACGTTTCTCCATCTTGCTTGGACTCTCTTTTTCACCTCTTTACCACACTCCCCATTTTCCTGGACAGTGGACCCCAAAGTACTTGAAGTCCTGCACCCTTGTGACCTTTGTGAGAAATGGCTAATGAAAGAAAGGGAAAAAGTCACAGGAGCTGGAAAATGTTCAGTTTTTATCTTAAAGCAGAAATCGTCAGCCCAGGTGTGGCATGCTGTACTTTGTTTGACGCTTTTCTACAAACTTTTAATTGTGACATAATTTCTGTCCATTCTTGTACCGCCAAACAGGTTTACTGCACAACTCAAACACAGAGCTGCGTACATTTAGCAATTTCATTCTGCGATTTTAAAAACGAGTCTGTTCTGAAAAAACAAACAGTATTCACAAGTACAGGCTTAACAGAAACCTCACTACAATAGAGACTAGTTCAGATGTTTTTAAAACGATCCTCCTGTGTGCGGTTGTCAGTCACATTAAGAATAGATAAAGGTCGAGCTGTAAACAGTGTTTCATTTTATATGACTCGGTGTCTCTCACTGACCTGCCATTCTGAAAAATGTTGCATTTTTTCATGCATCCAATTATAATTTTTGTTATATTAACACTTCAGGCTTTAAATAACCTTGACGACATTACTAGAATTAGTTGATCGAAGTGTCATACAACTGTTTTTGCTCTAAGTGCTCTCTGTGATGAGCAAACTGACTATATGTAAAATGCCTTTTCAGCTTATAAACTGAGCTGTCCTCTAATACTGTTTTAGCTCAGCCCCATTTACTAGTGTCACCTCTCAAACCGATTACTGAAACTATTTGTACACAAACTGACTTTATTAATCCCTATGGGAGTTTCATTATGCAACCTGCTGAGATGGAAGTTTTTAACTGTGGTGGTTGAAGTAAGCAGTTGTTTAATTAAACAGCGGTGCTGCGTCTAGTGTTCCCCGTTTAAATGCTCGAGACTAAACTAGTCTGTATCTGCTCAGAACATTTACCGGTACCTGCACGCATGCCTCTGGTCTGGGCGCTCGTCTCAGGTCGAGACCTTGTGTAACCGTCCCAAACTGGTTTGTTGTTGCTTAGAAATCACGTTCCCCGTTTCCACAAACGGTCGCATTTCACCGTCTATTCAAATGACAATCTAGGACACCCAGATGGGCCTGTTATGTAATGCTGGTGGTAAACGTGCACGGCGATGTCTCATGGATACCCATGTCATAGCAACCATTCCTGAGAAGACAAAAAAAAAAAAAGGTTCTGCGGTATGTGGAAACATTTGGTTTCATGTAAGTGTGAGGACTGCATATTGATGGGCTGAACTTCATGCTGAGTGTGTGTGTGTGTGTGTGCATGTGCGTGCATATATCTTTAACATGGAGGACGAATGTGTGAAAGCGTTAGTAATATTTAAGTGTGAGGTTAATGTTTTTCCACATACTGCAGCCTAAACATGATGGTATTACAGGATCTTGTTTCAAATATAAAAACCACGAGCGTCACACTCAGAACGAATTTGATCCTTTACAGCGTTAGAAAGATTCTGTGGATACAAATAGTCCTGACAGATCTTAGTGCAGTTGTGCGACACAGAGGGATGCTAAAATTATTACTGTTCGAGCTCTCAAAACACCCAATTTGTCTTTTAGCCACTGAAATGAAACAGAAGATGCCGTCAGCAGCAGCTGCGTCAGGGGAAAAGAAAAGTTTTTTACAAGTGCCTGTACATTTTTAAGCATCTTTTTTGTACATATGTATTTATTTATGATGGATTTATTATAAAATGGTGTGTTTTATTAAATTGTTGGACTTCTGCATCTTCCGTAGGTGCAAAGGTGAAGGTAGTTTCTGTGAAAAAAAAAAAAGATTTTTTTTGTATAAATAATGATGTAAATCATCTTCTAAGCTATAATTTATTTCCACAGTTCACATTTGATCCTGTTATTTTTACATCACAGAAAATTTTGTATTTTATCAAATGAATTTTAGAGTAAAAAAAAAAAAAGCTGAAAGTTTTATTCTCAGTGTGTTCTGTTTTGTCCACTGGTGCAAATAAAGTTGTGAAATTGTCTGTTTTTAAACTATTTTCTTTTTAGTCTGTTGTGTGTTTCAACAGATCAGCACAGACTTAACTTAAAAGTTTAAATCCTAAACCAAATCTCATTTGATTAAAACAAAAGTGCCAACTGTCAGACCGTTTGTCCGGTCCGAAATGATATTTGTCATTTGAATTTCTTCTTTAATCACAATATTTCAGCTGATTTTGTCGTTGTTGTGGTTTTGGTTGCGGAGAAAAAAAAAAGGAAAATGTGTGTCATCTTTATCAAATGTGTATGTTACCAAATAGATTTGTATACAAAATAAAAGCTGCATTATCAGTGTCCTTATTATTATTATTTTTAAGTTTTGAATGTTATTTGGTTTAATGTCATAAAGACTGGTCCAACGATAATGAACTCACATTGATGGTTAATGTCTTAAAGTTTAAAAATTGTGGGCAAAATTAGTGAATGGCTGCCAACTTCCACATCTGTTTGGTTCCAAAGTCAACAGGCGTTTGGGATCAAGTCACCGTTTTCATACATTTACGCTCAGCTTGGTCGAGTAAACTTTGTAGAAGCAGGTTTTAAAAATCTAAATTGAAATGGACTTTGCCTTTTTTCTGAAATAAATAAAATAACCGATAAGATAATTTCCATCACCTTTTCTAATATTTGACAAAAATTAGCTGTCTCATGGTTTTGTAACTTACAAAAGTTACAAATCCATTCATTATCTTTACCCGCTTCTTCATTTTGGTGCCCATGTCCAGCCATCATTGTGCAGGGTGTGTGTGTGTGTGGGGGGGGGGGCACCCTGGACAGGCCTCGAGTCCATCACAGGGACACAAATGAAACAACCATTCACTCTCTCACTCACACCTAGGGACAATTTAGTTACCAATCAGCCTAACATGCATGTTTTTGGTCTGTGGGAGGAAACTGGAGAAAACCCATGCACAGAGAGAACATGCAATCTACACCCAGAAAGGCCCCCTGGCTGGGATTTAAACCCGCAACCTGCTCGCTGAGAGGCAGCAGCTTTACCAACTGCACCACCATGCTGCCTATTTAGTAATCGTATTTTTTTTTTTTTACACTTCTACTTTTTTATTTTAACACAGAATGTGAATCATCCAGCAGGCAACTTCTATCAGCTAATAAGCATCACAGACTGTAGTAAACAGAATGTTCATCTAGAGGTAAACAAAACAACAACATAAAAACTATAGAAGTTCAGCAAACGCCAGGTTTGAACTCTGTCTTCATGGACCTCCCCTGCCCTTCTTGATCCCCATTATTTAATCTTGACATCTCTCTTTCTCCAACTTTCTCTTTTCCTTCACATTTAGCAGCAAATTCACTCATAGTTCCACCTAAACGTCATTTTGGAGATGCTACACTCGTCCAGTTCTCCGTCTCCAGCGGTTAGTCCTGTGACTTTATAGGTGGATTCATCCAAGTGCTTTGTTTACCTTGAATGTGGACCTGCGTTTAAAATTGCATGTTAATATATCTGATGAAACTAAAATTAATGGAGTGAACTCATGGCACCATTTTGATATTTCAGGGAAAAAAACTTTTTATAAAGCTTCCAAGGATTATCTTTAAGACCTTTCTGCAATTAGTGTTTACACAAAAAATTAGATTATGTGTGCAACAATTTGCTGTTTGATGCTTTGAGTTGGCCACACGTGCAGATTTACAACAAGAAACACATTGACATCTCAAAGCCAATCAAATGAGGGCAACACAAACCTAACAGCAACTGACAATTTATTTCTCAAATATGCAATTAGGAATAATTGAAGATTATATCGAGGACACCCCCCCCCCCCACACACACACACACACACACACACACACACACACTTGGCATTTCACTGCTCAACCTTGGGAACCAAAACAAGCTCAACTGGCTTCACGAGGTGGTTTCAGTGTGATAATGGTGCCATCCCTTGGATATCTCAGGAGCTGCTGATGCGTAAAATGCGCCCCCCCCCCCCCCCCCCCCACCCACCACCACCACACACACACACCCCACAGTGCCTATCTGTTACATGGAAAATAGGATATATTTTCATGTGCCATATTTTCAGTTCTCACTGGGGGGGGGGGGGGTCCTTGTCCCTCTCTCCCCTTTAGGTTCACCTGACGGGTCCTATGAGAACCTTCTTGCTGGGAAAAACTCTTGAAGAAGAAGTGGGACCACAAGAGCCCTGTCATTGCTCTCCGGTGACAAGTGGGCCCGTTTTTACACCCTCCCTCTAAATAAGGCAGCAGCCTGACAGACATATGACCACCGAGCCAATTTGGGAGCACCCCCCACCACCACCACCACCCCCACCCCCCAAAATCACGTCCCAGGCCGCTGATCGCCATCAAGGAGCTGCAGCCTCTTGACAGGACTCTGTTCCGCCTCGAGCCTCCTCTGACGGCATCTCTCCTCCAACCTGCTGTGAAGTCAGCATGACGTCACCTGGTGGCGGTGTGTGGGGGTCGGTGAGAATTTATTCTGAACTGTCTGTCAGAGGCAAGAGAGAGAGAGAGAGAGGAAGTGTGTGTGTGTGAGGGAGAGAGAGGGGCGCGGAGGAGCTGCAAAACATGGTAATCACCACCATCACCATCACCTCCAGCTCCGCCGCGCACTCTCCCGTCTCCTCTCCTCCTCCTCTTCCTCCTCCTCCTCCTCCTCACCGGGGCTGGCGCTTTATGCCCGGAGCTCTGATCTGCTCACCAAAAATAACCCTCAGCCAGCATGCCGAAGGAAGCAAAACAAGAGGCGCGGTATTTTTAGGGTCATTAATTTGGACCACGTGGCCCGGAGGTAAACCGGATGGCCGTTGCGCAAAGGCTCCCCGTCAGTATGTCGTGCGAGGCCGGCGCGCCGCGCTGGACGCCGAGCGCGGTGTTTCTCCTGCTGGGCTTCCTGCTGGGGGTGGCGTCGGCGTACCCCCTACCGAGCCGCAGGACGAACGCGACGCTGCTGGAGAGGCGATGGGAGACCCTCTTCTCCCGCTCCGTGCTGGGGGTCTCCGGGGAGAAACCGGAGCCGAACTGGGAGAGCGACTATCTGCTGGGCATCAAAAGAGTGCGGAGGCTCTACTGCAACGTGGGCATCGGGTTCCACCTTCAAATCCTCCCCGACGGCAGAATAAACGGTGTACATAATGAAAACCAGTACAGTGAGTTTTCCACCTCCGGTGTTGGACACGAGCATGATGGATCCGCGCTGCGCACACAGCCTGCCCCCCTCCTATTCATCTGCATGACCAGATCTCATCCCGCTCTCAGGGAGAATTGGATTTCTTCTATTAAAAACAAGTATCCATCAGCACTGAACACCCCC